TCAGTTTGGTGTTTTACTTATTGATTCATTCATTGATTGATTTTTACATGCATCCTGACTGGGCATGTAACCAATGAACTTAGTATACTAGGCTGATGCTCTAATCAACTGAACTTCCTGACCAGGGCAAGACTTATTCTGTAGCTGTCACTTTGCCATGTACCAGCTCTGTGATCAGACTTAAGCACTTTGAGTCTTTGATTTCCTGTCAGTAAAGTCATAGCTAAATAGGAGTGACTATTTTTGGAAATGCACTAATTACACGTAATCTGCTCTTATTTTTATTACTGTCCTTCTGCTTTTCAGGGGGCCCTTTCACATTTGGTTTGATGACAGAATGGGAGGAGGAGGACGGTCTCCTGCGCCCTGGCTGAAACTCCTTCCATCCTAAAATGTAGTGACTCCTAGAAAGAATGAATAAAGCAATTGAGTAGATTTCAGTTTGTCTTATTTTTCTTTCTGGGGTCCTCTGTTCAGAAGGGCCATAACTATATAAACTTTCCCTTGGGTCATGGGCTCCAGAGAGCCCGTTGTTCTAAAGGTAACTCAGCTTTTCAATAAGACATGATTCCTTATCTCTAAGGTAAACATCATCGTTTTTTTTCTCTGATACTGCTTCTAGACCCCTTAAGCTCCTAACCCCGATTCCTAAAGAAACTTTAAAGCATGCAATGAAAAGCATTTTCAGAGTATTGTCTGACAAGTGTAGGGCCTCACATACATCATTGGTTTGGAGTCTAAACCAGCAGAATATGAATCTCTATTAACTTTGTAGTTATGATAGGACCACTCCAAAGCTTCACTGACCGTTCCACCAAGTTAGGCCTTTACTACATCAGCCTTTGGCGAATGGGTTCTATTCTGTTCTTCCCCACACCCCTATAATAACATCTATAACAATTCCAGCATTTTCTTTTCAAGACATAATTTTGGTTATATATGGCCACCTGTAAAATAGACTTCAAGTCCCTTAGCATGACATGCAAAGCCCTTCATGGTCTCATGAATATCTCTTTATTCACATGGACTCCAGTCACATCCATGCTGAAAAGATAGCCAAATCTCTTTGCTGTTAACACTTTTATGCTTTAATGAAAAGTCAGGTTTTTCCCCCCTACCAAAAATGTCTGCCATAGTCTTCCTTTAGACTTGATCTAGTGCCAGCCTTAGGACTATTTGTCCTTGAATTCATTCCCCATAGTTCTTCTAGTTTGCTCTGGGTAGGGCAGACAGAGGGCATGAAGCTGAACCCTACAAGATGACTTTCTCAGGTTCCAAAGTCAGTTGACTCTGGGCCTCTGTTCTGCCCTTTGGTGTCCTAGGCAGGAGATAGGTGGCTGGAAAAGGGAAAGTCAGAATGTGGCCGCCTTTCCCTCTCTATTTGGAAGACGCCTCTGGAAGTGTCTGTACCATGTCTGAGCTTCTAGGTCCTGCTGGATAGATTGGTTCTAGCTTTTGTCAGTTGACTCTAGTCTCTGGCTGTTGTTATACCCCTCTCTTTTTGGTCTTCTCAGCTGAGTTTCTAGTGGCTTCCTCAGGTTACCAGCTCCTAGGTTACCTCACCATCACCAACTTCACTTTTTAGGTCTTCTGTCATGTATTGAATTAGACAATAAGTTCCCCTTCTCTCCATAAAATAACAAAGTGGAACCCTATGCAAACTGAAAAAGCAGTGAAGTGAAAAACAGCAGCTTTAGGCTTGCACAGATTTATGTTCAAATTAGTAATCTAAGTGATCTTGGACAGGTTCCTTAAACTTCCAGGCTTTCAATTTCATTATTTCAAAATGGAATAGCAATATTTAATTCTTGTACTTGTGAGCATTCAATGAGGCAAAAGAACAACCAGTTGCTATGACACTAGGGGGGTTTTATGGAACATGCTGTGATGGTGAAGCAGGTGAGCTGGGGCACCAGACTAAGGTGGTACACCAGTAACTGTCATTGGGGCAAGCCTCTGGTAGTTACTGAAAGTCCTTTGCTCTCACATGCCATAGTCCCACTGGGAGCTTGTACCTACCACTTGTGCCAGCGCCGCACTCACCCACTACCGGCACCCGATCGCTCAGCTCAGTCAGCAGGTGCAAGCAGTGCCCTGATTCCCCCTAATTGCCTCTGCCTGGCCCTTTACCTGGTAACCAGAATTCCCTCCTCCAGCTGGTTACTGGCACCTGTGAAATGGGCTTTTCTCCCTCTTTCTAGAAGCAGGCACCCGGGACCCAGTCCAGCTTCATCTGTGCTGACAATAGCCATAGGGGATTGTGGGTGGGCAATTTTGTCCTCTGGTGCTGGGACTTGAGACTGTGGGGTAGGCGACTTGTCCCTCTCCTGGACGACAGCCTGGCGGGTCCCCATTTATCTCTCCCCAGTGTTGAGTGTCAGAGCAGTTCCAGCAGGGACAACCATTTGCAGATTATTTAGGAGAGTGTGATAATAGTGTAAAAGAAAAACAATCTGTAAATGCAAGTGATTGTTAATCTTCAAAAGCAGGATGTAGAGAGGGTCTTATTGGAAGATAGGAAGAAATGGTACAAAGGATAGGAAGGTGAAACATGTATTGAAATGTTAAATATCTATTATGCTGGAGATCTCGAACGGTTACTCTTTAGTGGTGCATCGAACCCAGTATTGATTTGGCATCTGTTTCTATTGGTGTGTTGTTGTTGTTGTTTTTTACTACCAACATGGAAGAGTGATTTCAAATTGTACAACAAATAGGTGAATATAAAGACAGAGAAACTCTGATAGGACATGTTTTTTAAACCTAAGTAATATGATTACTACAGTTACAGTAAATGTATTTTCCAGGGAATTTTAGGCACTCAGTATATGAAAAGGAATTTTGGGGGATTTAAAAATATATATATATTATTGATTTTTACAGCCAGGAAGGGAGAGGATGGAGAGTTAGAAACATCGATGAGAGAGAAACATGGATCAGACCCCTCCTGCACCCACCACCTCCTGGGGATGTGCCCACAACCAAGGTACATGCCCATGACCCAAATCGAACCCAGGACCCTTCAGTCCACAGGCTGACTCTCTATGCACTGAGCCAAACCGGTTTTGGCTTGGGGGATTTTTGTTAGGGAAAAGCAGTCTGTCAGAACTTAATAGAGTAGAAATCTTAAGTGATTTTGCTTACGTGGAAGTAATAGTTGAAATTAGTATAGCCTAAAATAATCAAAATAAAAAGGGAATCAATGGAATTGAATAAAATATTTATAAATAATATATCTGATAAGGGGTTAGTATCCAAAATGTGTAAGGAACTCATACAGTTTAATAATAGAACAACTTAATTTAAAAATGGGCAGAGGACCTGAATGGACATTTTTCCCTACCCCCTCTGCCTGCCTGCCTGATCACCCCTAACCACCTCTACTTGCCTGAAACAAATAGCCAACAGATATATGCTAATGTGCTTAACATCACTATTTATCAGAGAAATGCAAATAAAAAATCACAATGTTTGTCAGCTTACACCTGTTAGAATTATTGTTATCAGAAGACAAGACATAAGTGCTGGCAAGGTTATGGAGAAAAGGGGACCCTTGTCTACTGTTGGTAGGAGTGTAAATTGCTGCAGGCATTATGGAGGCTCCTCAAAAAAAATGGAGCTACTATATGATCCAGCAATGCTACTTCTGGTTATGTAGCCAAAGGAAATTAAAATCATTACCATGAAGAGATTCCTGTACCCCCATGTTCACTGAAACCATAGCCAAACCATGAAAACAACCTAAGTGTCCATTGGTGGGTGAAAGGATAAAAAATTGTGAGATATATCATATTATTCAGCTTTAGCATAGATGAAAATCCTGTCATTTGTGACGATATGGATAAATTTTTGAGGGCATTCTTGCTAAGTGAAATAAGTCAGACAGAAAAAGACAAATACTGTATGATTGCATTTATATGTGGAATCTAAATAAATTGGAACTTGTTAAAACAGAGAATAGGTTGACAGTAGGTTGCCTGAGACAGAGGGTTGTGTGTGGACGGAAATAGGTGAAAGTGGCCAAATGGTAAAAACTTTCAGGTCTAAGATCAATATAAGGTACTATATTTTGGGTAATCTAATGGTGACTGTAATTAACAATGCTGTATTACATACTTGAAAGTTGCTAAGAGATTAGATCTTAAAAATTCTCATCAGAGACAGTAATGGCAACTACATGAGTATAATGGCTTTGATAACTAACCATACTATAGTAAATATTTAGCAATATACAGCATACATATAGCAAATATCACTTTTATACTTTAAACTTGCACACTGTTATATGTCAGTTATATTTCAAGAAAGCTGCAGGGTAGATTGGCACAGTCTCTGTAAAATGCAGTGTGTGGATTATCTGAATTTGTTGTAGAAAGTAATATGCATTTTCCATTATTTAGTAGGTGTTCACTCTTTCCTTAATCATTTATATTTTTAAAGGGACTTTGTATTGCATGAAAACCATGGCAGCTCACTAACTTATAGGAGTTAATAATAGGAGAGACTTATTAAGTGTTAATCTTGGTTTGGTTCATTTGCATCCTTTGTCTACATAATTTCACTAAATCCTCATCACAATATGACATCCTCAAGTTAGGTCCCAACCCTAGCCTTGCACCTTAAGGGGACTGTGCCATATCATATCTTCCTGAAAGTAGAAAGGTGGAGGAATTCAACAGAACTTTCACTCCTTCTCATGTCAATGCAACACCTCCCCTTCTTTTTCAATATTCTTTCAGAAGAAAGATTCTTAGAGCTCTTTGCCTCGCCCTGGCATCTGCTTTGTTTTGCAAGGGCTTGTGCAAGAGGTCCTTGAGATTGCTTTAAATTAGGGCTTTGTTTCTCATTGGAACATGAGGGAAAGCGGAAAAACCCATTTGTTTAAGTGACAAATATGACCTTCATGCTCTTCATTGCTGCAGCAAGTCAAGTGGGCATGACTGAAATCCAGGTCCTCGAGAGGTGTATAAATATGCCACTGTTAAACTTGCTGAAGCACTTGAGACCCCTGGCTTGGGTGATCTACTGTTTAACTCCAGGCAGATATCACAGATAACTTGCCATGAAGCTGACCATTGTGTTCCTGCTGGTGACCATTGGCATTTGCAGTTACTCTGGTAAGTAGCCTGGAACTTATGACATTTCTCTACTTTTCTGTTCATAGGATACAACTAGTAAGCCATGGCTAAGGGATGTGGTGGAGCGAATTTTAGAATCATAGAATGGTAAGGTTGGAAGGGTTTTCAGATGTACTCTACTTCACACAATCTAAACCCTAGCCCAAACCCCCTAGTTCATGCTACCCAAGAAGTTAGCCAGTTCCCATTGAAGGTCAACAGAGATTTCATTGTTGAGCTTGATCACCATAGTTCCTATCTTCCTCAATATTTAGTCAAAACCTGATTTTGCAGTTTTCTCCTTTTATGCTTTTGACACTATATGGAGTCATACTTGCTATCATCACTGATCAGTCAGGTTGCAAGCTTGATTCTCCTGAGACAGTTACACTAATCTGTTCAGATGCTCCTATTGTGGCTATCTATTGAATGGCTACAATCTGTTGGGCACTGGATAAGCATTGGGAGATTCAGAAATGAATAAGGCATAAATATTGTTCCCCTGGTGCCTATAGTGTGGCAAGGGGGATAAGACTTCTGTAGAAGTGAGTACAGTGGTATTCAGCTAGAGTTCTGGAAAATCTGAGGGCAAATCATTCAATGTGTGGGCGGGGTACAGAGGCTGGCTTCTTGGAGGACAGTGAGAACTGACCCATTCAGTGATGGTCATTGCTCATTCAGAGAACAGAAAGTGTTGTAGAAATATATGAGTATATCAGTACAAACAGAGGAGATACCAAAGTGTTTAGTAAAAAGATCAGTCAAGAGAAACTAAGTGGCAGCTTATAGAATTTTTGACAAATTTGTAATGTCATCAGTTTCAATTATTTTTGTTGTTCAGTTTCATGGACAGACATCCATTGGCAGAGGTGAGCACTAAAAGATGGGTGGAGGGAAATAAATATCATTTACTGGAAGAGAATTCTGGAGGGAAAATAGATAATAGAACATGAAGATAAACAGATTCAATTTTTATGATTTGAATGGGAATATGAAAATGATTCTACCAATGGATACAAGACACTGGGTGGGGCAGGTGAAGGTACATGCTGGGGGTTAGAGAAGGTATAGGGGGAGTTCAAGGGGGGGAAAAGGAGACATATGTACTACTACTTCTAATGTTTCAAACAATAAAAAAATATGAAAAAAATAAAAGGATTCCATAGGAAATGAACAAGGGCAGGGTCTTAGCCAGCAGGAGAATATGTAATAGGAATTCTTAGGAATCTGTTCGTGCACAAGTAAGTTTACATATTTGCATGAATTTTGCAAAAATACATATTTTTCCATTCTCTATATTTTTCTACTGATTCATTTTCTAAGTGAAAGTTACCTTTCTTAAATTGAAGATACAAAATGAAGTTGTCTCATAAATGCCTTGAGAGCTTCCCATGACTCTCAGGAAAAACAAAAACAAAACACCTCAAACTCGTTAGTATGCCATGCAAGGCTTTGAAAAACCTGACCACCTGAATTTTGCAGCCTCAAAATTCCCTCCTCAGCACACCCCTCTGGAGTCCTGCACTCCAGCCATTCTGGGCAGAAGACTCATTACACTGTGCATGTGCTTTCATTTTAATATCTCAGTGCCTTTGTTACTTTTGTTCTTTTTAAAATTCTCTTCCCTTCTTTACCTTCTGATTCTGGCATTTTCCTTAAGACACAACTCTAGCCTCTAAGAAGATTCCTGCAACACTCACCATCATAATTAGTTGTTCCTTCTTTTGAATTTCCATAGAACATTGCCCATCATATGCAGCACTGTGGTGTACACAGATCATATTGTCCAGTAGCCTATGTGAACTCTCAGAATGAAGTGTTCTTATCTTATGTATCTATGTAGCTGCATCAATTGGGACAGAGTCATTGTTCAATTGTTTTTATAGCATTGACTTAAATTGATTGGGAACAGTTTCCTGGGCTGTAGTTGGATCCATTCCTTTCCCCAATTTGAGTTTGCTCATGGTATCTCAATTTACATACAAAGTATATCCTTATTCAGTCAATCACTAGCATGGTTTAAGTGCTTACTACCTGCCAAAGTGCAGTGTGGTGTGCTAGGCACCGGGTTCAGTAGTGAGTAAAACCCAAGTTCCTTTCCTCATGGAGCCTACATTCTAGTGAGAGGAGGGAGGCAGAAACAAAAACATTTAATATTCTAGGTAGTGGTAAGAAAAAATAAAGATGGGGGGTGACAAGTGTGCCATTTTTTAATACCTCTTTAAGAATGTAACTTTTGAGGAGAAACCAAATAATGTAGCTATCTTGGAAAAGAGAGTTCTAGAGAACAGGGACAGCAGGTGCAAAGGTCCCAAGGCAGAATTTTTCAAGATGAGCATGGCTGAAATTTAGGCGCTGATGGACAGAATGGAAGGTGGTGAGGTCATAGACAGGAGCAGATGCTCCTCTTTCACTCTGTTTCCCTTTTGCTCCGCAGCTACTGCCTTCCTCCTCGGTAGTGTCAAGAATGCCGTACCTGATCCTGAAAATTCGCCTTTGGCTTCCATTTCCCTTCTGAATCCATTAAAGAATCTGCTGCAGTCTCTGGGCATTCCTGTTGAGCACCTTGTAGAAGGGCTAAGGAAGTGTGTGAATGAGCTGGGCCCAGAGGCCTCTGTGGCCGTGAAGAAACTGCTGGTAACTACAGCTTGTGGGGTATTTTGTCACAGGCAGGGCTCGGCTACCTGAATACTCATGCATCTCCCACCTCACCCTTTTCTCACTTGTGAATATGTATTTCCCCCTTACTGATGGGTCATACAAAGTTTGCATATTTAGTAATCTTGAGAAAGGTGCAGTGTCTACATTTCCAGTAAGAATATGTGAATAACAGAGACCTGTGGGTTTAAAGAAAAAAACAATAATGTATATATTGATTTTAGAGATAGAGGAAGGAAAAGGAAAAAAGAAAGAGAGAAATATCAGTATGTTGTTTTACTTATTGATTCATTCATTGGTTGATTCTTACATACATCCTGGCTGGACATCTAACCCACGAACTTAGTATACTAGGCTGATGCACTAATCAACTGAACTTCTTCACCAGGGCAAGACTTATTCTCTAGCTGTCACTTTGCCATTTACCAGCTCTGTGATCAGACTTAAGCACTTTGAGTCTTTGATTTCCTGTCAGTAAAGTCATAGCTAAATAGGAGTGACTATTTTTGGAAATGCGCTAATTACATGTAATCTGCTTTTATTTTTATTACTGTCCTTCTGCTTTTCAGGTGGCCCTTTCAAATTTGGTGTGATGACAGAATGGAAGGAGGAGGACGGTCTCCTTCACCCTGGCTGAAACTCCTTCCATCCTAAAATGTAGTGACTCCTGGAAAGAATGAATAAAGCAATTGAGTAGATTTCAGTTTGTCTTATTTTTCTTTCTGGGGTCCTCTGTTCAGAAGGGCCATAACTACATAACCTTTCCTTGGGTCATGGGCTCCAGAGAGCCTGTTGTTCTAAGGGTAACTCAGCTTTTCAATAAGACATGATTCCTTATCTCTAAGGTAAACATCTCCATCGTTTTTTTCTCTGATACTGCTTCCAGACCCCTTATGCTCCTATCCCCATATTCCTAAAGAAACCTTAAAGCATGCAATGAAAAGCATTTTCAGAGTATTTTCTGACAAGTCTAGGGCCTCACATACATCATTGGTTTGGAGTCTAAACCAGCAGAATATGAATCTCTATTAAGTTTGTAGTTATGATAGGACCACTCCAAAGCTTCACTGACTGTTCCACCAAGTTAGGCCTTTACTACATCAGCCTTTGGCGAATGGGTTCTATTCTGTTCTTCCCCACCCCCCTATAATAACATCTATAACAATGCCAGCATTTTCTTTTCAAGACACAATTTTGGTTATATATGGGCACCTGTAAAATAGACTTCAAGTCCCTTAGCGTGGCATGCAAAGCCCTTCATGGTCTCATGAATATCTCTTTATTCACATGGACTCCAGTCACATCCATGCTGAAAAGATAGCCAAATCTCTTTGCTGTTAACACTTTTATGCTTTAATGAAAAGTCAGGTTTTTTTCCCCTACCCAAAATGTCTGCCATAGTCTTCTTTTAGACTTGATCTAGTGCCAGCCTTAGGACTATTTGTCCTTGAATTCATTCCCCATTGTTCCTCTAGTCTGCTCTGGGTAGGGCAGACAGAGGGCATGAAGCTGAACCCTGCAGGTTGACTTTCTCAGGATCCAAAGTCAGTTGACTCTGGGCCTCTGTTCTGCCCTTGGGTGTCCCAGGCAGGAGACAGGTGGCTGGAAAGGGGAAAGCCAGAATGTGGCCGCCTCTCCCTCTCTATTTGGAAGACGCCTCTGGAAGTGTCTGTACCGTGTCTGAGCTGCTACGTCCTGCTGGATAGATTGGTTCTAGCTTTTGTCAGTTGACTCTAGTCTCTGGCTGTTGTTATACCCCTCTCTTTTTGGTCTTCTCAACTGAGTTGCTAGTGGCTTCCTCAGGTTACCAGCTCCTAGGTTACCTCACCATCACCACCTTCACTTTTTAGATCCTCTGTCATTTATTGAATTAGACAATATGTTCCCCTTCTCTCCATAAAATAACAAAATGGAACCCTGTACAAAAGCAATGAAGTGAAAAACAGCAGCTTTAAGCTTGCACAGATTTACCTTTACGTTCAGGCTTTAGGCTTGCACAAATTAGTAATCTAAGTGATCTTGGACAGTTTCCTTAAACTTCCATGCTTTCAATTGCATTATTTCAATATGGAATAGCAATATTTAATTCTTGTTCTTGTGAGCATTCAATGAGGCAATATTTAGAAGGACTAAGCATGGGGCATGTCTCAATAATAACCATTATCATCTTTGGTAGCTTTTGCAGGCTATCTTGGAATGAAAAGCATTGCCGCAGGTTAAGCTTTGATTTAAACTGTCTCTTCTAATTGAATTGTCCTTACTCCTCCTTTTCCAGGTCTCTAAATCCTTTCTCATTTACCAAGATGTAGGTAGATATTATTACCTTGAGAAGTTTTCCCACATTTTACAAGGGAGCATTAATTGCTTTTTGTCCTATTAACCATGCTACCATCTCTGTGCTTCAATATACCAAGCCATCTGCATGTGATCAATTGATCACATATTCAACTAACGTCAAGATTGTGAGTTACTTGAACACAAGATCCATGAGATGCATCCTTATTTTCTTGTTCTCAAGTGGACATTCTATGGTTTAATTTCTTTACTTAATACAGAATATAACAAATATTTACTGATCAGCTGCTCTCTGCTGAACACTGTTATAATTGCTCACGATTATACCAGTAATATTGAACAAAAGAGGCAAAATCTTGCCTCATGGAGCTTTACATTCGATTGGGAGTATAATTCCAAGAACAATTTTTTTAAAGTTTTTACACTGTGTTGAAAGATGAGTGTGCTAGGACAAAAAAAACACAGCTGCTAAAGAGGAAATGGTGGTCCAGGGTTTACAATTTTAAGTAAAAGAATTATTTCAGATAATACAACAGTGTAATTTTATTTAAAATTGCGAACAAAATTCTTACTGAGAAGGTCATCACTGAGAAAGAATTGAAGAAGTGATGGAGAAAGACACTGGCTATCTTCAGGAAGGTATTTTAGGCAGAAGGAAGGGTATATATGCAAGGCTCTGAGGAAATAATGTGGCCTCCTTTCCCTCTATTTGGAAGATAGAAGTACTTGAAGTACTTAAAGAAAGGCAAGGATTCCATATGGCTGAGAAAACAAAGGAATGAGCAGTAAAAGATGAAATGAGAATCAGGTAGCTCAGGTAGGATTGATCTTAGCCACTGTTGTAAGGCTATATATATATATATATATATATATATATATGATATATATATACACATGATATATATATATATACACAATATATATATATATATATATATATATATATATATATATATATACATACACAATATATATATATAACCCTAATATGCAAATAGACCAAACAACAGAACAATCAAACAACCAGTTGCTATGACACTAGGGGGGTGTTATGGAACATGCTGTGATGTTGAAGCAGGTGAGCTGGGGCACCAGACTAAGGTGGTACACCAGTCACTGTCATTGGGGCAAGCCTCTGGTAGTTACTGAAAGTCCTTTGCTCCCACGTGCCATAGTCCCACTGGGAGCTTGCACCTGCCACTTGTGCCAGCGCCGCTCTCACCCACTACCGGCACCCGATTGCTCAGCTCAGTCAGCAGGTGCAAGCAGTGGCTGCAGGCCCCAATCACCTCTCAGGGCTTTTCCACCTCCCCCTGCTCCTGAGGGGCAATCAAAGTTGGCAGCCACCTCTTGCACCTGCTGCTTGTGACAGCCCTGCTTGCACCCACTGCTGGCATTGGAGCCACCTATTTCCCCTGCTGCTGGTGCTGACCCCACTCACACCTGCTGCTGGCACCTGCTCCAATCACTCCATGCCATCAGCGGGTGCGAACAGGACGGATGCCATCAGATGTGAGTGCAGCTGCAGCAGGAGCAGAGCCTCGGGCAGATGAGAATAGGGGCTGTGGTGGGAGAGGCTGGGCAGGGCATGGAGGATGGGCCGAAAACCACCTCTGTGCCCACTGCAGCCTCATGACCCACAGTTCTTTCAAGGTGTATGAATTCATACACTTGGCTCCTAGTTGAATAATACAGCTTTTTTCTCAGAATGAGATGGGATATAGTAGAATGTCTTGATTTAATTTGAATTATATTTTATTAGTAGTATTCTTTATACTTAGCATCTCTGTAACATTAAAACGTAAATTTCCTTTAAGACTGATGCCATGGTAGGAACTTTGGGATAGGGAACAGAATAGTGATGCTGTGGATTGTGTCTTCAGGGTGTTCTTCACAAAATGGTGCTGTGTTGGAGGCTACACAAACCTGCTTAGAATTCCCTCTAAGCAGGGAACTCTAATGCATCTTCATGTTAGTTATCTTTCCTGAACCTCACCTGTTAAATAAAGAAAATAACGCCTATCCAATGTATAATATTTCAATTATGGCATTACTAGAGGCCCAGTGTACAAAATTTTGGCATGGAGAGGTTCCTCAGCCTGGCCTGCACCTTCTCCAATCTGGGACCACTCAGGGAGTGTCCGATTGCCTTGTGCAACCTGGGACCACTGGCTCCTAACCACTCACCTGCCTGCCTGCCTGGTCCTTCTTATCCAACTCTGCCTGCCTGACTGGTCACCCCTATCTGCTCCCCTACTGGCCTGATTGCCCATAACTGTTCCCCTGCTGGCCTGATTGCCCCTAACTGCCTCTGCCTGGCCCTGTACCTGGTAACCAGGATTCCCTCCTCCAGCTGGTTACAGGCACCCACTCCCTCTTTCTGGCAGCAGGCACCTGGGACCCAGGCCAGCTTCATCTGGGCTGACCACAGACACAGGGGATTGTGGGTGGGCAATTTTGTCCTCTGGCCCTGGGACTTGAGACTGTGAGGCAGGCGACTTGTCCCTCTCCTGGGCCACAGCCTTGCTGGTCCCCATTTTTCTCTCCCCAGTGTTGAGTGTCAGAGCAGTTCCAGCAGGGACAACCATTTGCAGATTATTTAGGATAGTGTGATAATAGTGTAAAAGAAAAACACTCTGTAAATGCAAGTGATTGTTAATCTTCAAAAACAGGCTGTAGAACGGGTCTTATTGGAAGATAGGAAGAAAAGTTAGCAAAGTATAGGAAGGTGAAACATGTATTGAAATGTTAAAAATCTATTATGCTGGAGATTTCGAACGGTTACTCCTTAGTGGTGCATCCAACCCAGTATTGATTTGACATCTGTTTCTATTGGTGTGTTGTTGTTGTTGTTGTTGTTGTTGTTGTTTTACTAACAACATGAAAGAGTGATTTCAAATTGTACAGCAAATAGGTGAATATAAAGACAGAAAAACTCTGATAGGACATGTTTTTTAAACCTAAGTAATATGATTACTACAGTTACAGTAAATGTATTTTCCAGGGAATTTTAGGCACTCAGTATATGAAAAGGAATTTTGGGGGATTTAAAAATATATATATTTTATTGATTTTTACAGCCAGGAAGGGAGAGAATGGAGAGTTAGAAACATCGATGAGAGAGAAACATGGATCAGACCCCTCCTGCACCCACCACCTCCTGGGGATGTGCCCACAACCAAGGTACATGCCCATGACCCAAATCGAACCCAGGACCCTTCAGTCCACAGGCTGACGCTCTATGCACTGAGCCAAACCGGTTTTGGCTTGGGGGATTTTTGTTAGGGAAAAGCAGTCTGTCAGAACTTAATAGAGTAGAAATCTTAAGTGATTTTGCTTACATGGAAGTAATAGTTGAAATTTGCATAGTCTCAAACAATCAAAATAAAAGGGAATCAATGGAA